TAGATACAGCGCATTAGCCAAAATGGACGCAGAAGAAATGACTCAGGACACGGCTCCAATGGAAGAGGAGGATCGGTGGCCAACAAATTTGGAGAGCCAGGGCTCGTCGGGGAATGTATATGGCTATCGAATATATTCAGTCCTCCACTTGGCAAGCCATTCGCCGACATCATGGCAGTGGTGGGTGTGGGGATTATAGGTATTGAACCAGTCATCGGCACTTTATGGGTATCGACGGCAGGAAACGCATTGCTTGACGGACTGTTTGGGGACTCAACGAACGGTTCCGGCCCCGAAACTGAGATATTTCTCAGACGAAAAGTTCCCAGTCCTGTATTGAGCTTGCCCAGATTATCCGGTGCTGAAGGTACTTTGCCGATGGGACGTGTTGGAGATGGAACTTTGGAGAGCTCACGGCCATCATCGTCCTGGTTAGGCATCTTTACTGAGATTGCGTTAGATAGAGCATCTTCGTTAAACGATCCAATTGAGACATTTCGATTCTTCACGGACGCGGCTGATCGTAGAGCAGAAGCAGGACCCGATGCTCGACCTGGCTGATGATTGATAGTAGAGGTTGAAGCTGTACTATCTTTTGGAACTGGCGGCGGCCGAAAACTGAATGGGTCCGTATTTGTTTCGATCTTTAGTTCCGTGGCATACTGACCCGATAGTCTCCGTGCTCGCACCGTTGGCGTTGATATTGAGGCATGTCCCGAATTTGTCGAAACCGAAAGTGCGCCGTGACTTGGGGGAGACGACCCGCTAGGCTCGAAGATTGTATCATCAGTGAAGGGCAGGCTTGCATCTTCTGCGAGGGGGCTTAGGGCCGTCATAGTATTGGAAGCAGTCGAGCCATCCCGCAATTTGCTAGAAAGGCTACCCGATCTTGACTGGCGGGGAAGAGCGGACTTTGACTGAATGCCAAATTCGAAGTCATCCATAACATAGCCTCTGGTCATCTCCTCCAGCAATCGCTCCTCTTCTTCAGCTTCCTCATCTAGATAATCGGTCCTAATATCATTGACACCGTCATACGCAGGTTGTTCTTGAAAACGCTGTGTTTCTTGCCCGCGTGTCAATGCTATCTGAGCCTCCCGCTCAGCTTCTCTCACCTTTTGCTTCGCGATTTCGACATTTCTCCGAGCATTGGCCACAATGTCATTGCTGCTACCATTATCATCTAGATCGACAGCTGGTTCCAGACCTTCATCATATGCAGCTTCCACAGCAGCATCAAGGGCAGCATCAAATTCGGCCTCGGTACCGACAGCATGATGAAAGCTCCCTCTATGTCGCAAGTATATTGATGACACTTCTGAGCGTATCGAAACTGGGGAAGATGCGCCAGATTCATCAATGGTGTCGAGCCAAGACGTCGATTCATTCACTTCCTTCTTATGATCCCCGAAAGAGAACAGGTCAGACTGGCCAGCAGCATGAGTGATATCTACTCCTGAGGTTATTGTTTCCGGGGGGTCTGAAGCACCCATGTACTCAAACTTCGATATACGCCGGGATGATCCAGGATGATGGAAATTGACCGAATCAGACGATTGGGCTGTAGTCGGTGTACGATCACCTAGCGGTGACGGTAATAATGACTGGCGCGGTTGGTGATCCCAAGTGGACGCTAGCCCTTCCGCCAGATCAAACGGTTGGACCATAGAACTGCGCTGCAAAGAGACACGCTTCTCTCTGGCCATTACATCGTTCTCATCAGCGATTGGATGAGATAAGTCACCATATGATTCTTGACTCAGCGGACGCTCAGGGAGGGCTTTGCTATCCAAATCTCGAAATGAAAAATCCATACGTTCTAGCTCAGTGACTCGTACCATATATGTATCACGCTAAAAGAAAGATTTCAGTTTTAGAAATGGAGAGAACTTGAGTTCAGTTAGGAAACTCACTATTTCTTGAAGTTTTTGCTTCTCGTCTTCTCCTCCGTCGCTCCGAAGCATTACCAAATGTAGGAGTTGACACGCATCATTGTAAGCCTCCATAGCCCCTTCGAAGTTCGCCGCATTGTCGAGAAGAACTGCGGTATTCGCTTTCTGCAACGCTTTGGAAAGCATTGCTTTCTGTGACTGACCCCGCTTTCTTTTCTCCTGACTTCTATCTCCCTCAGAGATCAACCGCGGTCCTTCCTCTGCTGGTGCGTTAGGCCCTGATTCACGTGGACTGTGTGCCTCCAGAACTGGGCGAGTAGGAACCACACTACTTTTGCCCCGGGGAGAATCAGGTCCTGAACCGTTTCCCTTGACCCAGGGGTCTTGGAAAAGGTTATGGGGTATTTCAGTGGCCCCAGAAAATATCCAATTAGTCTGTGGCACTGTCGCTCCTACAACGTCGACTGGGTGATTTCGTACAGGATCGCCATGCAATCCATCATAATTATCAAATGTCTCCGGCATGTGAAATCCGTCATGTATTTCATTGCCAGTTTCGGAAGCTATCCGACTTTGATTTTCCGAGCCATCATTATTGTCAATGTGTTCGTCATGGCCAGTGGTTGGGGAAGGTGATCTAGGCCCTTTGGTAAAATCGAGTCGACGATTATTTTCCGGCGTATTTTGGCTAGATGTTGTAGACTGCGACCAGCGATTTAAATTGCCTAGTCCTTCACGGATGAGACCTTTATCCGTCTTGTCTAGCGACACAGCAGTTTGTGGCGAGGCAGAATTTGCCGGAGTTCCTGAACCGATTCTGGAAATGTAATCCGCGGTATCCGATTCCTTTAATCTAGACATAGCCTGTAATGCGATTGTGGGGATGGATGAACGTGGGCGTTGTCTATCGGGTCACTATAACTCGACTTTCCTCAACTGTGTACGAGTGCGTTCAGCATATGCCAGTATGTATTAGAACGTTGACTTAGATGAGATACCAACGGGCGCAAGACGTTTTCCAGAAATATCGCGGGAACGTTGGTTCACACAATCCCGATGTTGCGATACCGTGACCGCAGTTAGAGACTAGCAGTTTATAGAGTGGCAGAACCAGTCTTGAAGCTTCCCGGCTTCGGCTTTCAGATAGGTAGTATAGCACCGCCGAAAATGGCTTGGCCAACGAGGAAGATCCTTTTTACCGGAAGCTGATGTGTCCACAGTATTTCTGCAGCCTGAGATAGTCCACACAAGATATTTGTCAGCTCGATTGCTGTCTTGCGCCCATACCAGAGTACTCACTCCGGTTGCATAGTGTGTGTGTGCGCGCGTGTGTTTTGACAATACAATTGGCGGGTTTGGCGTTATAGAATGCGCATTCTCCCCTTAATCATGACAAGTTTGTCCCAGACCTGGTGCACAGCAGGTAGTGGTATGCACGAGATGATAATCGACAAAGTTTGTCGACAAACCAGGATACTTGCTCTCTCTTGGTTGATATGCGCTGGTAGGATGCTCGATAAACCCGACGGTAGGGATTGAACTCGGATCCGGAACTCTAGTCCACACAGGCTTTCCGGCATACTAGAGGGGTAATTAGCTGTTAGTAGGAAATAGCCAATGGTGGAAGTCATAGTTGTAATGGTTTGAGATAGATTTCCACTCTTCTGAATACTGATACTTAGAGGTAACTAAATGACTGTGTCAGGACATACCAAAAGCACTCGTTTTGATAAGCAATCAAGTCACAAGGAGGATAAGACAGGTCAAACCGGACTATACGTCCAGGCCGACAAGGAAACCAGTAATTTCAAGTTGATAGCTAGGGCTTGTGCGGGTGGGTATCTCAATAATTCAGGTCAAGAAAATGTTCAAGCGGCACGTATTATACTGTAGCGTTGTATACGGGAGGGAAAGGGTGGAAAAGGGGGAGGGGAAGGGGCTTTTGTGTTTTCCATTTTCTGGTCTGATATGACGGAAGTCCCTCACTAGCCATGGATCTGCTTTGCTTGCTAACCACCGAACTTTCCACGGGACAACAACCATAGTTGCCCCATAGTACGGAGTACAGAGTTTGTAACATTGTAAGGGGCATAACGCACCACAATCAAGTACTTGTAGGGTATTCGCATAGCCATAAAGAGTTACCCAGCACAAAAAGGCTTAATAAGTAACTTAATGCATATTGTTTAAGGAATTTCGGAGTTTGCAATGTCTCAATAGGTGTCACACTGTACATAGCCAAACATACATACTAGATTCTGAATTGGGACTATCTACCCCAAAAGACTGTGCAATCAAATGCGGGTCTCTAGGATGCCAAATAATAGCGTGCATCTTGTGGTACTAAAAATTCAATTGATGAACAAAGTATGGCTAGCCCGAGTACCCAGTTATTTCATAGTATTACCCATAGATTAACTGGTACATACATCTGGGGTTACAAGGTTGTATGCTAATGTAATCTGTAATCGTTTGGGTTGAACCTCCACAACATGACGGTATAGTCAATAACCAGTCTTTTCATAGTAATACTATATAAACTTAACTACTCCGTAGTTTGTATCCGGATCGAAAATTAGACGTCAAACTTCTAGTAGTTCAACACCCCGGTTAGTCCTACATGTATCTCATGAATAATACCCTCTCATACAAGAAGTCTCTCTTCCGGCCCCCCAACCTCTCTCAAAATTTTGAAATTGCTTCACTATCTAGGCACGGGCACCATTACTAGATAACTGCCAAGGCACTCTCTAGTGCCCCAGAGGCTTTGTGTTGCTGTATAAGCAACTTTAAAGAAAAAGATTGGGTGAATCAGAGCTAGATGCTTCACCATGCCAGACACGCATTAATCAGTTTCAATACACTTATTCTACGGTACTGTAGCTAGTGTTCTTCTAGTTATGATACAATAAAGAGACGCATAGGTAACAAGTGCCTTTTCTTTTATTTTAACCCAGTTTATTGTAAATTATTCATTTATTTCCCCAAAATACTCGGTTAAATGCACATACCTGCTCAAGGCTCCGATCGGTAAGTAGGTCTATTGGAGTTGTAAGAAGTGTAAGAGTGACCGAGATCTAGCGATAAGGTGATAAGGGAAATTCTTATAGGACATCTAGTATAATTCAACTGGGACTCAAAAGGACTAGCTGGATATGGTGTTCATGAAAGCTAGAGTGCGCGATTTCAAAACTTTGTATACGTACTCTCGTGGTTTGGAGGAAGGATCCATAGCATATTCGACGACTTGCATACCTACTGATAACGAATCCAACAGGTCCACTCATCATAATTCGGCGTCAGTCAAGCCCAGGGATAGATAAGCAATAATAGCTTTGTTGATAAACCCATACCCTCTGCCTCATGACGATTCTAGCCCCTTTGGCGGGTATGCCTACTCATCGCTATCGTCCTCACTCGTCGCCTCGATATTCCGGCGCGTATCCTTGTCATCCGAATAATCATCAGAGTCATCACCGACCTCTTTGTTCTCACTGGTCAATTTACTATCGCTATCATACTGTGGTCGGGGGATTGATTCGCCTTTATTCTGAAGAGTGTTTTCAATATGAGGTAATAATCTCACAAGAGAGGAAAACTGATCAATTGGTAAAGAGATTCCCTGCGCAAACGATGAGATTCGTGACAAGGCCTATTAGAACATAGAAGACAAACCTTCTTCCCAGGGAGCTCGTGGCCATCCTTCTCGTAGTATTCCCTTATACTGACCAGGGTCTTCCCACGGAAAGATGAGATGGTCAGACGGCGTGCTTTGGAGATTTCCCAGTAAAGGTCTCCATTCGAGTCAAGCTTTCCCTGGCCAGCGAGTGAATCGGTATGATTAGGGTCTGGGTTTCCCTTCGAGACATTGCCCCTCGTCCTTTTTGATGACTGGTGGTCGTCGATAGAATCACTCTCAGCGTCTAATTCGCGCTTTCTGGCTCTGGAAGACATAACTATGTCTGCTGCCAAAGGGGCGAACGTAACTTTACCACTGACTGTGTTTAGATGATATGATGTGTCAATAATATCTCTCTCGGAAGCTCAAAGTGGACAAGCTCTCCATTAACTATATGTAAGGGGGAACGGACCGTCAATATGGTATATATATCACGTGACCCCAATCAAATAGTGAACATTCAATTACAGTCATCATACAGTGAATAAAGTTTATATTACCGAAACAACATATGATGTTCAATGAACTAGAGATGCGAAGAAGGAACTAATCTTGGTATTATACATGCGACGGGATTCTTGTGATCGCTAATGTTCGCTAATCTCAGCGAGTCGGGGCCCGGATGTTAATATTAGAGGATAGCAGTCTTGAGAGCCTGCAAGAAAAGAGAATATACAAACCCCCTAGCGAGATTTTGAACCTGCAGACAATCGAAGATTCTCCCCAAAACTTCCTTACTGGCATTTGCTCCCATAACGCTCGTAAGAGCCTGGGGCAAGCCTCGCTGAACGAAAACTTTGCGAGCCGTCTCCCTCAGTCGTTCTTTCTCAGCATCAGTGGATGGCGGCGGCCAGTTTTCTAACTCGCTTTCCGTTGGCAGAGCATTTTCACGTAACTTGTTGAGATATAGCCCAATTGCTTCATCTGACGTATGCGAATCAATCATCGATACCTGGAGCAGCTCACGGATCGTCTCCAAATGAGGATTTCCGGGGCGTAATATGTACGATTTTGCCGCATTAAGTAGAGTCCTGCGTATGTTCCATGCCGAAGACAAGGTGTATAGTTCATTGATTACCGCGAATATGAGCTCCACTGCTATGCGCGTCTCTTCATGCGTGATAGGATTGCCTCGACTTCTGTACTCGCTTAATTCAGCGTCTGGTGCTTGCCCTTCGCTGTTGGCGTGAGAATTATCTTGCGTCCCGCCAGGAGACCGGGGTAGGTCAGCCGAAGTATTGCGCCCGGTTGAAGGGGACAGTTGTGTAGAAGCCACAGTGCTTCCTACATCCGTCGTCTGAGCTGAGCTGTCGGGAAATCCTGCATAGTCCGTAGCCGTTTCGATTTCATTTGAAAAAGCCTCTTCAGGAGGGGGAGCTGGCCTCCCAAATGTCTTGTCTCTGTGAGATCCGTCCGGTGGGGAAGCCGAGCCAATCCTCGTAGGATTCCGAAGTCTCCCCTGTGACCCCAGATCGATTGACCCATTATGGTTGACAGGATCTAGTGGCCTGGCTTTATCGCCTACCACTGAATCTGGCGATTGCTTTTTACTGCTGCCTCCACCAAACACCCCTGTCATGCCATCCAACATGGCTTTACCACTTCCCGAGACGCCCCTAGGTGCATTGGATAATACGCCCAACACTCCCTTTCCTACATTCTCGAGTGCAGATTGGCTTGGAAAGGGGAACCCAGTCCTGCCGTAAGAATTACTGAAGTCCGATCCAAGATGTTCATCCTTGCCAAGAAATCGTTTCATCTTTTCACTCTCTGCCAGAGATTCGTGGTTAAGAGCATCTTGAAGATAACATTCCAAGTTCTTAGCCAATTCCAATGTTGTCTGGCCTTTCCACGAGGGTACAAGTGGGTGATCGTCTGCGAACTTCCGTAGTTTGTGCAGTCTCGAGATAGCCTCCAAAGTTTGGTGAAGCGATTCGAAATCGGTATATTTTCGGAAAACCATCCATCCAGTAGACCGTGTCGATACAGGTTCAACTTGCAGTAAGTAGTCCGACGTTGGCTTTGAGCGGAGTGGGCCTTTCGATGTGACCTTTGAAGCTTCGGTTTCAACCGTTATGGATGCGCGATGGAGGATGGCTGGTTCCGGTAGCGAAGTCGGTGCGGTTGGACTCTTGAATTGCATGATTGAAGGAGACGAGCTGTTATTTTCTTCCAGTTTGGAATCGATATTACTTTCAATATGCTTTGCTTGATCACAACCTGAGACTTTGCGTTGCAAAGCTCCGTCTCCGATCTCGTCTGCAGGCAAGACTTCTCTATGATTAATCCTGTCATCCGATGCCACCTCCTGCACATCGTCTCCCAGTGCTCTCTCTGGGCTTTGCTTCTGCTGATCATGCGCCGTGATCATGTCACTGAGTCGCTTCGCCTCTCTTTTGGCTTCCACTGTTGCCCTGTCAACATTTGCCATTTCATGTTGTATTATATTCCCAGGGATATCGGAGTCTGGGCTCGCGTTGCTCGTTGTATCGGATGGAAGTTCATTTACGCTGTTGAGTTCTCTAGTTGCTGTCACAACTTGTTCCTGGGCCCCTTCCACACCGGCGTCTATTGCAGTCATTATTTCTGACTTGCCTTCACTAAAAAGATATATAATCCAGCCATTGATGATTTCTGGCCTCGAAAGACTCGATACGGTTGACTCAAATAGAACGCTCACGAACATCTCGCGCATGAAATTTCTGAGCAGCAGACATCCATAGACATTTGGGTCTAGAAATCTGGCCAAAATATCGTCCGCTATAATGTCGAGCTTCTTCTTCTGTTGGTCGTTGGCTAAGATATTCGCCAGGCCACTTTCAGGGGACGTCTCTATGTAGCGCAAGACTACCTCTTCCGGCGGTTTAGTGGAGCCAACGGACTCGAATGCTGCAGAAAGCTCATTCAAAAACACAATGATCAGTGAGGATGAGTTAGTGAGGAGTTCCAAAAAGGTGTCAGCAGAGCGTTTACGAGAGAGGTGCAATGACAAGGACGAGATAAACTCGGCCAACAACTTCCTGCATGCCAGATGAAATGTTGTCTCGGGCGGTAATATTGGACTGGACCAGGAGCTTTTCGAGGTCTGGTAAGCTCACGAAGTAGCATTATAGGCGAGAGCTTACATCACATAGTCCTTCATAGCTGCATTGGTGATTGATCTCAGGGCATCCGCTGTCTTGGGGCCAAGAGCAGAATAATCAAGATCAGCAGAGGAAGAGTCCCCGAAGAGGAATACTTGCCCAGTGTCATCTTGTTCAGCATCGGCAGCCAAGGTCGTACTTTTCGGCCAATCGAGTAGTCTTCTGGCTGTGTCCAGGGCGAGCTCCTTTCTCCTTCGCTGTCGGGGATTGGATAATGGATGGATAGGGTCTTCATAAACTGCCTCCCATTGTGCGTGCAAGATGATACCACTAGCAATTCCGATCAAGAGCAAACCTAGTCTTCCAAAAAGTACGAGCGTCGCGCCTACCAAGCATGCGAAGACACCCAGAAGAGTCTCACTATTAGCCGTTGAGAGAAATTGAAGCGTCGATTCAATGACTCCTTTTAATCGCACGGGGTTCAAACTCTCCGTCTCAGCCTGCTCCTCGTAGCTCGTCGGCAAACCAATGTTAGAAGTCTCAGCTAATTCGGGTTTCTTGAGCTGTGACTGTTCCGCCCAGTTGGAAGTCTCATTCATGGCGATTGGCTCTATCAAATGATCGCATTGACCGTATCGCAGGTTTATTGAGTAAAAGGAAAACCAAGATTTCGCGAATGATCAAGGCTGCGCGTCGTCAGAAAGCTCGGTTGTCCTTTAACATCTGGTTATCTGATCGGCATGTCCGCTTTGGTTACCTAATACAACCGGCCGGGGATCACGAGCTTGTATAGCTATAGAGTGCTACTACATACTTAGCACTTTTGCCTACCAAGTAGTAAAAAAACCACGAGTAATGTATATTCAGGATGTGTAAATCAGCTTCAAATCTATTTGTACCAGTAACATCATGGGATATCATATTCTCCAAATAGGTTTGTAATCGTCGACAAAGTCCGTCATATATAGTAGCCAAAATAGGTAATGCGACCTGCGCATATCGGTCTAATATAGGAGCAGGATTAGTGGTACCAGTACTCCGTACGATGGACACAGTACGCGAAGTCCCTGGCCCGTACTTGATAAGATCTTGCCATCAGAAACTTAACCAGCCGATGTCAACGCTGCGTATGGGATACAAGGATGTGGTGTGGCATTGAGTGTGTGCCCCTTGTTGGAAACAACGTTAAGATACGTTTCGCGCACGGAAACCAAAACACAACATCTGGAGACACGACACTCTGGTGGTGCCGTACTCCTGTCAACCATTGGGGCCCAGAATCCAAAAGAAGTTCAGGGCTTGGGATAAGTGATAAGCCTAATTATGCGTAGCAGTACCATTCCTGTTCCGGTAACAAAACTCAAGGAAACTCTACTTGTAGTTGAACCGTGAAAATTATATTTAATTATATAGTGCTGTGTACCCATCCAAAATTACCTTGCATTACCAGTAAAAGACAAGGTATCTAAAGCAAATAAGGATGGACATTGCTATGCGCAATCCGAGTGAATCCAGCATTCAAAGTATATGCGTTTCATGCCAGATGTAAAGAAGACTGCGGTTTATATGGAAGTGTGCAGACACCACCGTGTTTTTCTCCCTGCTAGCCCGATCACAACTCATTCACAAGCCTGTCTGAAACCGTCATTGTGTCTTGATATATTTGGTATGAGATCCTTGTGCAACAACTGTACTCCCATTAGAGTCAGTCTGCTTCGAGATTGTCACAGTTGTAAAAGCAAGGTTTCGGCCGACTTTGTCGGCGCGGCCTTCAATTACTAGCCAGTCTCCAGTTTTCGCTGTTGAGAGATAGTTGACATGAATATTCGTGCTGACACCTGTTGAATCGAGACCGGCCGATGCAATCGCTAACCCACCCGCCCAGTCAGTGACACAGGCTGAAAATACGCCATGTAAGGTACCCTTTGAATTCAAATGTTGAGGACCGACTTGGAGTCTCGCATTGAATACACCTTTCCCAGCATCATAGATGTCAATGTCCTGAAGTAGAAAAGCATAAATTGGGCTGCTGGTGCGGATACGCTCCCACACTTTCTGAACTTGTTGTAGTTCAGCATTCATGTTGGAAGAGGCTGTCGCGTTTTGAAGTAAATCAAAGAATGTGCAGTTAAGAAAATTTCCGAAAAACGAAAAATTTTGCTGCTTCGCAAGGGCGGCATGCTAGCTTGATATAGCTGTTGACTAACTAGACACTAGTAACATTGAGTACGTAATAACCCAGTCTCGAGCTAGTTAACTACAAATCAAAAGTGATGAGAAGCATATTGTATTATTAATACAATACAGACGTTCTGCAGTAAATGATGATTAATATCCCGGCAACTATCAGCGTCCTAGCCTCAGGTGTTAGACTGACTATTTAGTTGATGTGATGATGTGAAGCTTCAGTCATTCGGGTAAGAAACGAGGCAACATCCTGCATATACTCAACCTAAAGGGTTCTCTCTATTTATCTGCAGCGTGGTTAGATCAAGAGACATATCATGTTACTCATGTAATTTATCGCAAGTAAAATATCAATTGTAACTTATCCGTTTCTGAGTTATATTACTGACTCAGACATTATGTAATAGACAACTAGAACATCCCTGGATACTTCGCTTGTGGCATACAAACTTAGCTGTAGTTCCTGAATTGTCTCTGACTTCCTTACATCCTGCCCATTCTTGCTTCACTCGCATCCACACCACCATTGTTGATTTGCCTACCCAGTTTAGCATACAACCACACAACCTCACTGGCTGACACACAATGTCTCGACCTGGTACTACACTCTATGTCACCGGCTTCGGGCACGGGACCCGAGCTCGCGACCTTGCCTACGAATTCGAACGGTACGTGCCGCTCATCGATTGCTACGCGCTACCATGACTATACGACCCGTGTCCATTCTCGCAATTCACCTCGGCTGAGTCCCGCAAACCGACGTCGGTGCCGCTCTCTATATCATACTATGATAGAGATTTGCTTGTTTATCCGATTTCCTTGGAGAGGGGACTCCTTGAAGGGAAACCCTCCGAAAGAGTTTTCCTCTCACAGTTGCCTTGCACCATATATTTAATGATTGATATGTATGTGGAAATTCTTCTAACAATGACTTAGATATGGACGTCTTGTCCGCTGTGACATCCCAGCGCCGCGTACCCCTTCCAGCAGACTGTATGTTTAATCGAGGCTTCGAACCCTGAATGATACTTGCTCACGACATAAGGTTTGCCTTTGTGGAGTACGAGAGCCGCCGCGACGCAGATGATGCATACCATGAAATGCATAATAAGCGGATTGGCCGCGATGATCTGTTGAAAATTGAGGTGAGTAGAAGACTATGGAATCCATAACTTGGCTGACATGGTTAAAGTGGGCGCGTACTCCTCCATCTGCTTCTTGGCGTTTTGACTCTGGCCGGGACCGGCGACGTGACCGTACTCCGCCACGACGTGGCCGCTCTCCTTCTCCTAGACGTGGTCGTGGCGACTATTCTCCCCGAAGGGACGACAGGTACGAACGAGATTATGACCGACATGACCGCGACTATGACCGCCGCGATCGCGACTATGATCGCCGTGACCGGGATTATGATCGCCGCGACCGGGACCGTGAACGTTCCCGTGACCGCTCTCGAAGCCCTGATGAGAGGGACCGCGATATCAAGGATGAAAGGGAGCGCCGTGATGACGATCGTGAACGACGCGAGGACGAGCGGGAGAACATCCCCAATGGTGAAGACAGGAAAGGTATGCTCATTGATGCATGCACCCACTTCTAGTCGTGGCTGATCATTTGCCGCAGTCCCCTTAGAACCCTTGACCTCCGCTCATGATGAGCTTGATACAGCCGAGTAGGTTATTTTGGCTTCATGAACTATCAGATCTCGTACCATACACTTGGCCAAAGACCTCAATCTGTGCTGGATTGTTTTCAAGGCCCGAGGGGTATAACGTGAAGCTTAAGATGTCATCAGTGCACGTTGGTGATCGACCTGGATGTTTGATTCGCTCTATCGCTGTTCAATACTGGCGCTATTTTCCTGACCCCTCCCCCGAGCTGCCGTTCCCCTCTTCCACCCCCCATGCACGTGCGCTCTTCTCTTCATTCCATTGCTCTCTTGTCTTGCTTTCCATATTTTTCCTTGCATTAATTCTTCCTATGTGCTTTCCTTTGCCATTTAATCCTTCTAAATTGCAGTGTTCATTAGCAGAGAGAGAACGCGAAGGGGCCAACTCCTGGAAGTGCTGGCGCAAAGATACGAGGCATTGGAGCTTTGGTACTATTGCTTAACATTGGTATTTATCATGGTCAGCAGCTCGAATCATGACCGAACGAACGTCGAGCGGGCCTTTTTCTTGTTTATCGTATCGCCAGACTGTCTCGTCCTTTCGTCACGATCAACAGCGATCCGTTATCCGTCTTGAGCTCGCATTCTAATATAGTCGATGATCATTGACCTTTACCGTCTCGGAAGATCGGTCGACTTCGTGCATATCCTGCAACACCGCTTCGAAAACGATTCGTAACTCTGTAGTATGTAGAATTGGTCGTCATTTTTGTTTGTGGGGAGAATACAAGGTAAGAGAAATCCGGAAGACATGAATGAAGTATTGACCTGCCGTATCACGAGTTTGGACTGAAGGCTACACTCTAGTCTATGTTTTCCTTGCACTTGGTGGAATGACTAGGACGACTTTGCAGTTGTAGAGTCAGGATTATCGGCTATCGAGGCAATAGGAAGTATGGCATGTGGGAATGCCCATATTCGTACACAAATTCTGTCTTACATACAGCCATTCCAAGATGGTGGGGATTGAAGCATCTTGTTATTGTCTGCATCATGACTAGTACGTACATATACTTTGAAGACAGTAAGAATTCACAAAGGAGTAGATAGGAAAAAGCGCGGTGCACCGCTGGTGTACATCTTTACCGAGCCATCACTGCATCTTTTCGTACGTGGCCATCAGAGAGCCTAGTCATATGGTGTTAGTAGGATAGATGCTGCTCGCCACAGGCCAAAGCTTTTGGAACTTACCGATAAAAGTAGTCACCAGGCGAGAGCGCACTTGGCAAATATCTTCAGGTACCAACCAAATTGTGGCACCTAGCTTTCGCGCTATGCTGATGCTCAGTTTCGCGTTTGCGTATGCCTCCTCGTCGTTCCGACCAGGCGTTACGAGATCGTAGTCGACATAGCTACTCTTCATGCCATTGAGCACGTCAAGGAGGAAAAGGCCTGAAGCGATCGACTGGTCCTTAAAGTTGCGTATCGATGAGGATCTGCCACCGCGGTGCGACATTTCGTTTGCCCATTTGATCATCTCCGAATCTGTTATCTCGCGCTTGCCCATACGTTTGGCTAGGCCCGAGAGTGTATTTGTGATATCCCGGCGCATTAGTTGCCAAACCAAACCAAGCGTGAGAGTTCGCTGACCATCAGTAATATCCGCTCCTTGTACACCTACCAAGGAAAATCCCACGTGTTTCCCAAGCTCAGTGGCGTAGTTAGTATTCTCCACTGCCTTGAAGCGCATCATTTCTCCCCCGGAAGCCGGAGGCTTATTGACGTGTCTCCAGTTGACACTGCCAGGCATCACTTTGTCGTATGCTTGCAGCAATACAGTTCCATCCCTAAGATCATCAAATAGAGAATTGACAGCGGGATGTACGTCGAGAGAGTTGAGCCACAGGGTGAAAACTCTGGCTTCCCGCTCACCCTCAGCATCAAAATCTTCAACTTCGAGCTTCTCTTCTTCGGTGATTGGGTCGAGGCCTGGAATAGTGTTAAATAAATTCGCCACAAAAGCAAGGTTCAGTTTAGGGTTCCCTGCGACGAGCGAGGAGGGTGTCAGGAACTTCCGACAGCCCAGTTTGTCCGCATTCGTCAAGACTTGTTCTGCCCTCTGAAGAACATCCTGGGTCTGAAGAGGACTCCGCGAGCAGGTCTCTGGGGCCAATTGATTCAGAAGCACGGTGTAATTTTCACCATCCTTAACATCAGATGAGAAATTTGTCACCCTATAACAGAGTTAGTCGGCTGCATCTCTAGGATTGTAGGTTTGGTTGTAGTTTCACAGCTGGAAACCTCCTGCCAGGAGAGTGCAAGATACCTTCTGTTCCATTTTGCGTTCTTCAGATGATAATTGAACCAACGTAGAAGAATCTGCTCCGGTGGAAGGCGTAGGAACTGCTCCAAAGTTTCATCTTCCTCCAGGAGCCTGTACAGTTCAGGGTGCAATTTGATATCAATCTTGCCCAAAAGACCACGGCGGATAATCTGCCAGATCAATCCCAGAATAAGGTGCTCACGCACTTCTATGATGTCGCCGCTTCCTATGTTCACAACAGAACAGCCAATACCCTTGGCTGAATTGATCACGATGTTGTTGTTTTCCGTCATATGGAATGCATTCAGTTCTTTGATCTTCTTCCCGGCTTTGTTCAAAACGCGCTCATCAATAGTGTCCGGGACACTATCATTGATCAATTTCGCCAACACCAAGCCGTCCTTACATTTATCGAACATTTCGAACGTGTCGGTAGGAAAGGGTAGGGAGTGACCAATGTCTGGATCACCAGCAAGAACAGCATTTATGTGCCTAGTGAATTCTGTTCTCTCATCCTCGTTAATCGTATGTGTCACATTCGCCGAGGAACCTTGGACATGAATCCTGCCTCCTATACTGCCTTTGGAGACATGTCGAGACGGGCCGGCTCCATTACCCGGAAGGACTGGTGCAGGAGCCGAAGCCGCCTGGTTCTGCGTCGAGGCAAAGCGGAGTTTAGAAATGAGCTGTTGAGATTTGTCTTAGCGACCACAGGACAGAGGGACGACCAAAAGAGCACAGCGACAGTGGCATACTGACGTCCACATAATCTTCGAGCTCGACTCGGCGAGAGCTGTCGAGTTCAACTTCTTTCAAGGCCTGACGCACAACATCATAGGGCTTTCGTTCTGATTGTTGGGTGGCTTTAATAACGGTTGCCTCGTCTAAGGAGCCTTTATCATCAACATCCAGCTTTCGAAAAGCATCTTGGAGAGAGAAAATCTCCGACTGCTCGAACTGGGGATATTTTCTGCGCTGCAGAGTCAGTCGGCGCCGGGCAATATCTCGAATGGTGGGGTTTTCTATCGGAGCCATCGACTTGCCTTTGGAGTTTGATCACGTTCATCCTCAGGGGGTTTGCTCAGGTACTTTGGCAAGTTAAGAGCTGAGTGAGGAGACGTCAATGGTATTACAATAGGGTTTGTGAGCGTATGAATATAGCAGTATAGAAGGGGTCACCGATCTGATGATGTAATTCGAATCAAAGATGGGTACAAGAAGAAGTTGGCAGTCTTCACTCGGCACTAATATAATGGAGTAAGCACGGCGTACTTAGGCACCTAGGTACGTAGTTGCGCTATTTTCCTCTACCTACTAGGAAAGTGGGGAAATAAAGGTGGGGGTTGCGAATACGGAGTAGTACTGCTACGTACTGCTTTTGTTTGTAGTTATTAGCCGACAGGTAAGGCTCGATCACCTTGTATGTTCAGATCTCTTCATTAGTTAGCAATATGAACACCTACAGAATTATTCCATGACATGGATGGATCTGAAGGTTGTAGTCCTGGTCATTCTAAGGCTCATTTGCACCATCATGGTCATGGATGGATGAAAAATAAATCGCGTGGCACCCGATGATCAGCACGGCCATACTTTCTGCTGTATTATATGGTAATTACGGTCTTTGCGGTGGTCAGTACTACGGAGTAGTAAATAGTAAGTAGTTACCAGTCCGTACGCAGTTTTATTCCTGCTAGTCTATTGAGGTGATCCTAGGTCGAGAATGGGGTAACTAGCCTATCTTGTAGATATACAGTAGCGTAGCCCCTGACAGGATCTAAATGCAGTCCAGTCGGTCGATGTCTGCTTCATGGGTTTCCTCATTGCCACGCCGGCGACTTACTGTAAATGTGTCCCGATTAAATGGTCGTTTCCTTGCAACCCTGGAGCTCGGCTTTGCCAAGAATTCGGTGCAGCTTCACGTCATCTAGGCTCTGAGATGCTTATTTGACCACGCACTAAAGACAGTATAAGCACGAGGAGAACAACGGTGAATAGATCTATATCTGGTCAGAATACACCAATCTAGCGCTTTGATCCTCTGAAGTATCTTTGGTCTACCTCACGTATTGGCTATATCACCATCGCGCAGTCTAACTACGTGGCCTTCTTCTATGCTAACCGCCTTGTCACCATATTCAATAGCCATCGCATTTGCTCGCTACCAAACGCATTGGCTCGTGCTCCGTCATACCGGGCTCTTAAGAGCTTGATGTCAAAGGACAGTCAAAAGGGGACTTTCTTTGGGGCCTTTACTCCGGGTAAACCCCCTAGAAGTACGACCCCGCAGCCCGACAACGGTACGAAAGACCTCCTACAACGTTCTCGAGGAGAGGACCATACAGTGTCACATAGACACGGGTTGAGTCCGCGTCGCTACCCCAAAGACTGTCCTCCACTTAAGGTTAGGTGGTTCTATGCTGTGGATTCGCCCAAATGGAAGCCCGGGGCCCGCGATCAAAAAGGTGACTCGAAACCTTTAGCGCCCCCGAAGAAGTTTGTCCCGTTCATTTCCAGAGACTCTGAAGCCGTCGAAGATGCATTTCAAGCACTTTTACAGTCTGATGTCGAGAACGAGCATGACTCATACAGCAGGTCCGTAGGAGGTGCGTCGTCCGAGCCGACCAAGGTTCCTGTGAATGAAGACTCGCTTTTTGATGTTATCATTGAACAAAGGGAGCTTCGGCCGGCCTACTGGATAGGCCCCGTCTACGAAGTTCGTCGCGGAACTTGGTTTTTTCAAGACGGGTCGACAACAAAACCATGTGAAGAAAACTTGGCTACCCAGCTTGAAGAGGGTTATCTCAAGTCAAAGCCATGGCGGTATACAAGCCCTACCTATTCTGCTAAGTTTCCTGTGAGAACAAATGACAATGAAAAAGGTAATATTGAATATATGTCTTCGCGAAGTTAGAGGCTTACTTTGCCTACAGTACCTGGTTCTTCCAATGAGTCCGAGAATTCGGGGCATACAACTCCTGTGGCTAGGAATGAACCTGAAACGTACCGTCTGTTTGGTGCTTATATGAATAGTATAGTGACTTATCAGGATTCTAAGACAGCGTTACTGGTGAACGACGATTTCATGTCCAGGGTGAGCACAACGGTCTATCAAAAGCTTGGTGGCATTCCAGGGACGAAGCTCGTACGTGGCTATAACGAAACGAACAAACAGAAAGAGGCGGAGGATAAGAGCTGCGTCGAAATGAAATCATCTGGGGAAGAATTACAAGAGGTCTTGCCTGGGGATACTCAAGAAAGGACAGTTTCACAGATGGGTGGACCATTTACGTCTCGTTACCAAACATCGGACGATGAAGGTATCTCGGTCGAGGAAAAACCGACTGTTGAGCAGCGCGTTTCAACGGATATGGCTGAGCTCGAAGAGCGAGCACGCAAGCAAGCACAAAGGGAAATGGAGGATTCCAGGAAGGTTGAGGATAAAGATCGGGGAATCGATCACCTAGTCTTGGTCACTCATGGAATCGGTCAGCGACTTGGCATGCGTCTAGAGAGTGTTAACTTCATACACGACATCAACGTTTTGCGCAAAACTCTAAAGAGTGTCTACAGAGCCTCTCCTGATCTTCAGGCTCTTAACTCTGATTTTCCGGACAAGCACGAAAACTGCCGCATCCAGGTTCTCCCGGTGTAAGTAGCACCCTGCCTTGTGTCTCAAAGTTGATTATGTGCTTTGACCTTTGTCCCACCACCATTAGACATTTCCCCCATCTTCACAATTAATTTTCCGGGAGGACTATTAGCGTGCCAGGGCTAATAGGTTCCAGGTGCTGGAGACATCTTCTGGACTTCCCATATCAAAAGGAGCACCAATCCCGTACAGAATTCGATCTGGGCGATGCGAAAGACTCCGAGAGCACCCCATATCCGAGCTTGTCCGATATAACACTCGACAATATTCCTGCAGTTCGAGGGCTCATCTCAGATTTGGCGATGGATGTGCTTCTCTACCAAAGTGATTACTGTGAGCATATCTCTCGGATAGTCAAGCAGGAGTGCAACCGGATTTTGGACCTTTTCAAAAAGCGAAACCCTTCTTTCCGTGGCTCTGTAAGCCTTTGTGGGCATTCACTTGGAAGCGCCATCCTTTTTGATATACTTTGTCATGAACAGCAAAATTCACGGCCTACTGAAGCCTCGCATTGTGGCTATGACGAGGATCATGATAAAGTAATCCAGGGCGATAATTTGGACTTTAATTGTGATGATTTATTCTGTTTGGGGTCTCCAATAGCACTGTTCCAGATGCTCAAGGGAAAAACCATTGCTGGGCGACCACAGAGGCAACATGCATCATCAACCCGTCCCGAAGGCGAAAGTGGGACAGTCAAGTCGCAATCTAGCTCTTCTGTGCTTCATGATTATGGGAATGACAAGCTTCAGCATCACACTCTGACTTCAATATCCTCTCCAAAATGCCGACAATTGTTCAATATTTTCCATCCTTCTGACCCGGTTAGTTACCGTCTAGAGCCTCTCATTTCGCCAGCAATGTCATCACTCAAACCTCAGCCATTGCCGTCAGTCAAGAGAGGAATTTGGACGACATCGGGTCAGAGTCTATCATTGATTAGCAGTCGTGTCGGACAAAGTGTGGGGTCATTGTGGACGAACTTCACATCTGGTGTCGCAAGCAGTTTGCTTAACCGAAGCCTTGGTCTTACTTCGGAAGATACTGCATCCTCCGAAGTAGGCCTTAATACAACTCTGCATGCCCACAAATCACAATCATCAGCTGACCCCGGCTCTTCTCATCAAACAGAAGATATCAGAAATCCTACTCTCATTGACTCAAATTTAGAAACACTCTATGAGGGTTATCGTAAGGCCGGGGAGGGCGGCAAGCCGAGGGATTCTCTGAGCAACGTAGGGGACTCGTTTGAATCACTTGGGACCGATCATCATGGGAGGAGACTTATGATTGAAGATGCGAAAGTGAGGACATTGAACTCCAATGGAAGGGTCGACTATAGTATACAAGAGTAAGGCACCTGCTTATCACTTTGGATGCTTTACAATATCTCGAATCTAATTACAGAACGCTGATCTGTCACAGGGGGGCCTTCGATATATCAATGATTGCTAGTATTGCTAGCCATCTCAGCTATTGGTCTGATGAAGACGTGTGCCATTTCATGATGTCGCAAATGCTTTGTAGGAGGCCCGGGGGGGCTGCATAGCAAATTTGGACATAGTGTTGCATGCTGATCATAGTTCGACCTACATACATGGAATAAATGGTAGTTCTATCTGCTTCGCACTTAACCAAGACATGTAAGAGAAGGGTTAAACGCCAGCGCGTGATGTCCAACTTATGTAACCTAAGACACAAGCGTCGAACGCATGAGCTACGGGCGTAGATCATTCACTCTTCACGCGGATTCCTCTGATTTTCTTGAGCTAGGGCCATTGATGCGTGCTCCGTACTATGACCATACTTTTATCTAATTAGTATACTGTGTGGCAAAAGAGCTATATGGTAGACATCGCAGCTTATATGTTGGCTGTTGATGATAATGCCAGCATATTCCCTAGGAGGCAGTGATTTGAACAAGAGAGGAAATCATCAATTGTTGTATCGAACGCGCCATGATAGGCGGACCTTACATATGCAGGACTGTTAGGAAAGGTCGGCTTGGGGTCCTGTTTCTAGATCCGCTATTGGACATGGGTAAGTTCGGCATGACGTTCACCGATGTTTCCTTGTACTTCAGGTACCATCTCCCATGATGTCTTCATCAATTTCCAGACCACCATTTAGTTCTCCAACAGCATCGCCACTGACCCTTGAAGCATCAGGCCACCTCTGATTTCTAGATAAGACTTGAAGACTTTCATTTCCCAGCTGCAACTCACTGCTACATTGGTTAGCATCTTTCGTTATTAGTCCCAGTACCCGAGCCTCTTCAACCAATCGTCTTCGCATCAGTAATTCACTATTGAGGTACGATTCCCGGCGCGCAAAAAACCGAAGCATTGTTGCATCTGCTTGACCATGCAGATGCAGTAGCGTAGCGCTGAGGGTGCCAGACATTACGAGCAACGCCACGAAGTCTTCGATATTTGCAGAAAGTGCCAATGGTGCAAGCGTGCGTTGTGCCACATCCGCTGCAGTGAGAGCCGAGAAAGTCCTGCCAAGCTTGATAACAAGAAACGAATTGTAAGCGTAGAACAGCTGAGAGACTAGGCCCTCATTATTGTCCTAGAAGAATGTCAGTCTAACCGATACGTGACAATTGTACTCCCATCTGCTAACGTACAGTACGCCAAACTGACCGACCAATGTCGATCTCAGCTCTCAACCTTGGATAGTCGCCCCTCTCAAAAGCGTCGACCAAGGATGCGTAGGGTTTTGTTAACGTTTGATATACTTTCAAGACGTGTGCAGAGATCACTCTAGGCGATGAGATCAACTATAACAGTAGCGTATGTCAGTCAAAGGCATAATTCGGGTGCTTCGTTGCAAGTTGACAACCTTTCCGTGCGCCAGCAAGCTAGCTAATATCCACTTCTTATAGCCTTCGATCATTATTTTGCTGACAGAGTCATTGACAGGAGACGATATGACGATGCTTAGCCAATGTAACGCCTTATCCCATTCCTTTAAGGCCAGGTAAATCATTGCGCCATACAGGAAAAATCTCATATGATCTCTGTATGTCAGCTTTGCAGAGAAGCCAGATGCATCGGAGATGAACGTATCGCCGAAAGTGTCTTCGGAACACAACGGACGACTGATATGCTTGCGGTAGGCTTGGACTGAACTGGTGGGAAACTGGAAAACCCATCTTTCCATAACCGGTAAAGCATGATGATAAGACTTGGAAAGGAGAGTAAGTCTGAGGAACGTAACATGTAATGATGTAAGGACACCAGGTGAGTTTAGTCGAAGCAATGCCTCCTTTATCACTTGGACCGCTAGGAACGGCTATTGGAGGTCAACTATAAAGCAATTAAACAATTCATGTTGGCTTGGAGGGCGCCTACCTTCGCAGTAACTTCAGCAGCTTGTGCCAGGAGTTCAACAAGTCGGCGCCACTCATAGCCAGCATACCGGACCTGGATTGGATCAAAATGTTGAAGAAAATAGGCCACTCCAGCCCATAAATCATTCCCTGGCTTGATCTCGTCTGGCACATTTTCCTTTGTCCGTTTTTGTAGACTGTCGACGTGAATATTGAGAATCAAGAGGTAGGATAACGTGTGCTGGGATGGATCGAGGTTCTGCGATGTAAATGGTCATATTCGTAAGCATGCCTTATATACTGTCTTGCATAAGAATCCACTAGCCATGCCCTTCCACCCTCACCCGCGAAGATTCTGGCCGTGCTTACATCTAGTAGATATTGAGTGTCAAGATCCTTATCGCAATTGTTAATGTATGCAACCAGGTCACGCATTTGTGTGTCATATCTTTCATCGCGCGTATTGTTTATTGTACGAAGTTCAGATGACGCCGAAGTGAGATGTGCGAGAATCTCTGCCATCTTCTGTGGGTTGTACGACCTGTAGCTGAGTAGTGGCCAGTTGAGTGCAGATAAAGGACGAAAGATGAGCGCGGCGGGTTGTTGAAGGGGGAAGTGGTAGTAGTAGTTGTAGTAGTTGTAGTAGTGATAGTAGTAGTACTTGACAGTACCACCCACTTATTACCTCATACACGGTGCATGCACCTTAGCTACAACAGCTAAATAGAGCAGACTAGCTTACTCGCAACCACCTTGCCTCAGTACAAATCAAGGGTAAGATACAGAACTAGTAGTACATACGTGGAATACTCACCACTGCTTCACTTCACTTACCAATATGACCGATTTTTTAACACCAAAAGCCACACTCATGGTTCGTGAGGCACTAAGTATGTCGTATCCCCCGCCAGATTTAAATACGTAGAGACTAGGAATACTACTAGTACTCAAGGAGCAAGGGAAAGAGTGTGATATCAGTGTAATATTCAACCATGATATGCTGTGGTTTAGAATAGCTTGTTACAGCAGCACAACAGAACAGTTGTTGTAGGCATCGGGCCGACATTTACTGACAGTAGAAAGCTACTGAGCGTGATGTCAAACAATAACCTGTTGAAAGGGGCATTCACCGACGTCATCAGGCCTAATTTGTAGGTACACATGTGCTGGTCAATTTCTGATGAATTGCGGAATGCCGAGTATGGGCAAAACATTAACTAGCCAAAGAGGCCGAAACGGATACTTTCTCGGTGCACGGGGTACATACTAACTAGTACTGAAAGTCTACTGGTTGCTTAGGTAATATTACCAACTTCAAGCCGTGACCCCTCACTTCCCGTGTTCTTACCCAATGTCTTACATTTTCCTTAGTGAAATCTAGCAAATGTCGCTTACCCAGTCTTCTGCCGGCAGTATCGCAAGCACTGCATCCGTAGCTGCTAGACGGCTAGCGGTCCTATCGAACGCTGAGCGCAATGAAGCATTAACGGCGCTGTATGAGGGTCTTTTGGCTAATAAGGATGCCATCCTAGCCGCCAACGCAAAGGATGTCGCATTGGCAAGCCGTGCCGCGGAGGATGGGGATTTGAATTCTAGTGTCTTGAAGAGGCTTGACTTATCAAGGCCGGGGAAATATGATGATATGTTGCAAGGAATCCTCAGTGTGCGGGATTTGACCGATCCAAGTAAGAATACTCGATTGTTTTAGTGTGCGCGTTCTGACCTGTCGAAGTTGGAAACGTGACTCTGAGGACACTGCTCGATGATGGACTTACATTGGAGAGGGTGAGCTGTCCCATTGGGGTGTTGTTGATAATTTTCGAAGCTCGCCCTGAGGTGATCGCAAATATTGCTGCCTTATCTATCAAGTCTGGCAATGCAGCTATCCTAAAAGGTTTCAGTCACATACCCGCTCTAGGTTTTCATGCATTGCTGACCATAAATAACAGGCGGGAAAGAATCAACTGAATCTTTCGTCGCAATATCGACGGTGATTTCTCAAGCCATATCGAGCACTCGCGTTCCCAAGTCCTCCATCCAGCTCGTACAGACCAGAGACGTGGTTTCTTCCTTGCTGGCCCAAGATACTTTGATTGATTTAGTCATCCCTCGCGGGTCGAATGACCTTGTTCGCTTCGTCAAAGACAACACCAAAATTCCAGTATTAGGCCACGCAGATGGCCTTTGCTCCGCTTACGTACATCATGACGCGGACCTGGACGTTTCTGTTAAAGTGCTCGTCGATTCCAAGACGGATTATCCGGCCGCTTGCAACTCTCTGGAGACCCTGCTGGTGAATGAAGCTGTTTTGAGGACCATACTACCTACTGTTGCCAAGGCCCTCGTGGCAAAGGGTGTTACTTTGAAGTGTGACGAACCCTCGAAAGGTGCGCTGGCGGATACTTTAGACTCTGCGGACATGAACTCTATCGTGGATGCCGTCGAGTCCGACTATAATACAGAGTTTCTGGATCTGATCCTTGCTATCAAAACGATACCTGCATCTGCTCCCGGTTCAGGTGTTGATGCAGCGATCGACCATATCAATACCCATTCCTCAAAGCATACCGACATAATCTTGACCAAGTCAAAGGCCACTGCGGATTACTTCATGAGCAGTATCGACAGTGCCGGTGTTTTCTGGAATGCTTCAACAAGATTTGCAGACGGTATGAGGTATGGCTTTGGCACAGAGGTCGGGATCAGCACCAATAAGATCCATTCCAGAGGTCCCGTGGGACTAGATGGTCTCACGATTTACAAGTACCTGGTTCGGGGTGATGGGCATAGAGCAGGAGACTACTTCGATGGTGTTGGGGGTAAAAAGTGGAAACATGAAGTTCTACCATTGTAATATATAGAACAACAATAGAGAAATTTATAGGTATTCAATGATTTAACTCCATTTTCATTTTCATCCAGTTAAGCTCGCCTGGAACCCTCATAATATTCGGTCTGGCATCGGGCATTCTAATAAAACGTTGGAGCAACGGCCGGCAAGGAAGACTCCTAGGCATGCATGATTCCGCAAGTCGTCATCACCAGCACGATGAACCGCTACCAGACACAAGAAACGGAAAATATTTAACCAGCGTTCCTTACACCTTGAAACCGCGAGACCTTCTGCGTCCACGGGCTCTCTCAAACTTACGTCCCTTGCTGCGGACGTAGGGTTTCTATTCAAGGTTAGTTATGCAAACCATATTTGTGCGTAGGGTATATAACATGCCTTGTGGCTGTGAGGGCCGAAACCGAAGTGCTTCACTGCCTCCCGAGCATTCTTGGGTCCGCGGAGGAGGAGAGTGTTCGCTCCAGTAGGGGCACGCAGAGCAAGCTGGTCCAGAGTCAAGGTCTCACCACCGGCCTTCTCAATCCTGGCCCTAGCAGTAGCAGTAAAGCGAAGGGCAGCAATGGACAGCTTGGGGACAGTAAGAAGACGGTTGTCGTCAGTGATGGTGCCGATCACAACGATGGTCTTGCCCTTGTGGGAGTCGGTCACATTGGAAACAATGCGCGAGAGCGAAACGGGGGGGCGGTTGATCCTGGACATGAAAAGGCGGCGCAAGACGACCTTGTTGAAGTTGGATTCCGTACGACCTGCAAAATTTCCACCACCCATCAGTTTCCCATGGCTGAAAATCGGTTGCACATAAAAGGCGGAGACATACGGGCGAGGAAGCGGTAAAGCTTCACCAAGACTTGCAGGTAAACGTTCTCGCTCTTGGGCGCCTTGCGATGGGTGCCGCGCACATGGTGGCGGTCCAAGTCGATACCTGTATCCCAAAATCAGTATTCGCCAAGTGAGAATAGGAACTGTCCATGGTGTTGAGCCAAAAGAGAAGTCGCAACCCGCGAAATTCTTCGGCGAATGAATATATCACCACGTCAAATTGAACGTACCCATGGCTGCTGTTATTGATGGGACACCTGAAAGTTGGCTGGCTATCGCACCCGTAGTCAAGGTGAAGCTGGTGAGGTTTTCAATCTACGATTTTCAGATGCACGGTGTGTGCGGGTTGAGCCCTACACTAGTCCCAATACGGTAGCCAAGATCATTTGATGCCCAATATTCAAGGCATAAACCGTTCATTGTACTAGTTACTCCAGTTTAAATCCTGACTATCCTAGCACTGTGTGCTAAATAAATTATAGTTTTAGTGGGGAGCTCCATTTATTCTGCTATCATTTATCATTGGACGTTGACCTCACATACTGTTGATTCATTAATGAGCGATCCCTCCGGTTCCCCTCTGGACCACACATCTTTCGTATCTGTAGGCGTGTGCCCTTCCTCTAACAAATTCTATAGTGTACTCCGTAGTCCGTAGGCTTATGATCCATAAATATGTTGCATCTTTCCCACTTTTACCCCGCATAGTCTAGCATAACCCACTCCAGCTCACTTGACCTACCGTGTCAACTATCATATTCTATACAAATCAAAGTCCTTACATCAAACAATGCTCTGCGAAGGTTTTTATCTTTATGTTACATATTTTAGTTATTTCCATATGCGTAATAATCGAGGGGCACTCTGCCGAACATAGCCATCGCCCGACATTGGGAAAATTGCGCAATGCATAGCGGCAAGGTCAAAGAGGGTATATGATACGTACCGTCACCTAACAAAGAAGTTTTCTTTGGTGAAAAAGAAAAGTTGGACCATGTTTTATCTACCAGGTGTGATTTGTATTCATCGGGGTGCCGTGGCCATATTTACTGATGTTATATCTATCATTTCTCCAAACCCACTAAGAAATCCCGGGTCAACTCGAAGCTGAGCCAACTACTAGCCATACTGGGAGCCACCTTGAGAAGATTCGGCACGATTCCTTTGAACAGGCCACGCAAGCCCTCTTGCGCCACAATGGCCCTTACGGCGTCCGTGATTGATGCATATTGATATCCCATCCCAGACATTGTATTAATCTGAAAGCGCCGTCGGAGAACGTCGCTGAAGCCGTGGCCTCCATATTAGCTATCATAACGAGGAGCAATCGATGTTTCCTGGTGGGGCTTACAATGGGTATGTGCATGTTTGTGCTACTGCACCAGAAACTGCACCGGCAAGTAGTTTACGCAGGGGTCCTGGTGTCGCATCACCTTCAGGGGTCAAATACTTGCGGACCGATTCATACGTCATGAAGTTGAGGCCAACCTAAATGCACTTAGTCACAGGTGGTATAGTATGAGCGTTCCGGGCTTACTGACATAGGGGGCGACACCAGCAACGGTAGGCACAATGCCACGGTAAAGACCTACAATACCGCCTTCATTTCTATATATCAAGACCATTGTGGTAAACATGCCCGGTAACTGCTCGCCAACCCCTCGGTGACTGAGAGCTTCAAATGACGCTGACTGGATAGAGAGTCGAGTTCTGACAATATCAAGAGGGTAAGTAATTGTCACGGATGTGATGCCGGCAGCGGCACCACAAAGAAGCCGCTGCATGGCTGATAATTCGGCATTTGGCGAAGATTCAGCGAACTAGAGTCTACGTTAATCAAATCTCCAACCCGGTCGCCCTTTCTGGCTTATATTCGCACTTCAAACGCATTGTACAGTCGAGGCGTACAATCTCAAAGCCTGTACGGATTGATTTTCAACTCACCTTCTTGTAGAAATTATAGCTGCCGAATTGAACCGCTGAATAAGGAATGATGCGAATACAGTTCGTGCCATTTCCGCGCATGAAGCCTCTCCATCCCTCCTCCTTTCCGATTTTGACGAGCGCTTTCCATATGGATAATTTGTATTCTTCTCTGCCGACACTCTGAATCTGGAGGAGGATTTTGAGACGTTCGAGTGGTGATACAAGTGTCCTCGACACCGCACCTGCTACTCCTCCGGCTATGAAAGCAGCAACAACGGGTTCGGCAATTCTGGACCTGGCTTTATTGATGAAACTTGGCGCTTTCTCCGCGAAATGGTCCTTTTAAGGCGACAACAGTCGTGAGCTTGAAGATGTACATGATAACTCCTGTAGCCATACCTGTATAATGTTGGACATTGGTGGTTGAGGCATTTTGAAGTCTGCACTTTGCCCGTTCGATTGGATACATCGACCTGACCGGTGGCGGCCCAAGCTGATTATTTGTATGGTCCTTGATAAGAGACCGACGTGAATAAATCCGGTAGTAGCAGGATGCGGGGAACACGACGTTCAGTAAGCCAGTATGTGACAGACGTACTGGACAGGCCTATCCAGGGGTTGTTATGAGCAACATTGAAACTAAATAACAGCCAATGGATGCAGCTTGAGGGGTCGAAATACTAGTACCTATAGAGAGACGATCGAAATGGGGTGCTTGCGGATCATTCATTCGGTATGTTGTCTATTGGCCTTGGGATATTGGTCTCTGGTGGTTTGTTGGGACCCAGTGCCCCCTGCCGTTGTCCTAAGAACAGGACTGGCCAAAGACGCATATGAGAGAAAAGCTGGTGAAGGTGTTATTGCATACGTGTAATGGAGATGCAAGAGGCTTTGTTACAGCGATAGCAAGCCTTTAATGAATCACCCACAAAGAGTTATAGTTCAAAAGGTATAGGTGGAATGAGAATAAGAATGCAAGACAATATGGTCTGGAATAGTTCGAAACCAAAGTCCGGCACCAGCAGGCTGGATTGCCAAACAAATCACTGCTGGTCACTGCTGTGTTGTTGTGGAGTAAAGAGGGTCAGTCCTGAGAAGAGAAACGGCAGCGGAAATCGAGGATTCACACCGGGGACACCCGTCTCCTGCCCTAAGAAAGATACTATTCTAAATATCACCACCTAATTCTTTTATATATAGGAGATTTTCACTAGTATTTATACATGAATTTAATATAAGATCTAATATACAGGCTTATTTAGAATCCAATAAAATTTGATAGAAGTTTATATAAAAGGTTTAATACAGAACTTTATATAAGAAATCCTAATATAAACGGAGTAAGTCGGAAATTTTCTAACGCTAAATTATATTTCTATTATGGATTTTATTATTATAATGAAAATAGATAAATATCTACAGCTAATTCTTCTTCTATCTAAATATTTAATAAAACTAAAGCTGAGTTACAATAATATTATAATAATGTCACGGAGCAGAACCTGGGTGTACATTCCAAGCGGCTAACCGTTGCGCTATCGGCAAAAGGACTAGGATGTAAAGCTAATGGCTTTACACTATGCACACGATATAAGTCTTTATCAATAAACATCGCGGGTTCAGGCAGGCAAGTTCGGGTTCAGGTTCCACGGCAGACAGCTCTCTTAGCTCGCACCGTGACAAATAAGCATTACTAGTAATGTATTATGATAAACTTTTGTAATATATGCTTGACAAGACTGAATTTATTATGAATTAGATGTTTTGATCATATAACAGCCATATAATTATATTTTATTATTTATTCAATTTCATCCTTTCTTAAGTATAAAATCAAGATTCTATTATTCAATTATTTACAGAGAAATTCTGAGTTTATTAAAAGGTATTATCATTAAAAACATTTAGAATAAATTATGATAAAGTAGAGTATTATATAAATAAATATCTCAAGTATTCCAAAAAATGAAAGTTTTTATTATGTATTCATTTACGGGACTGATCAAAAAGCTGAAATAAAAATATTTGAAAGAAGATTTCAATATCTATAATATAAGGATCCATATATCCAGAACCCTTGTACTATTTACTAACAAATAATATCTATACTAGTATCAGTGCTGTTATTGTGATGGCAAATAATGTGATTATGTGACTGAGGCATATAATATAGTTTTACTTTATTATATATAATCTTAAATTATTTATTCTGTTCATTTTACTTTACTTATTTTTGGTATTTATGAATATTCTTTTAT